TGCTTGACCTTGACCTGCCCGTAAGCCCGGGAGTAGACTTGGGGAGACGAAAGTCACACAGAGATTCGGCATCTGAATTGATAGTTTGGCTGTGGGCAGGAGAGCAGCATTAAGCGCCCCTCCCTCAGCTGACTGTGCCTCTGCCGTGCCGTGACGACGATTGCTACTCCTGTTATTATGACGCACGCAGGCTTGCTTTGATGTAAAGGGACAATATTCCTTTTCCTTGGAAGAGTCGGAGTCGAGAATCTTTGAGGCCCTCGAATCATGCCTCTCCTGCCTGCTGGGGAGCCTGGCCTTGTTCGAACTCCAAACAAAGCCCGGGACACACTGCAGGGCTCCTGGCTCCCCTGGTCCCATCAAAGCAAGGAGCAGTGCAGGCCTGGAGGGACGTTACAGGAAACCCGCCTTCAAGCCAAAACCCAACAGCCAGCAGAGGCGTTGAAAACATGCATGACTCTCCGGAAAGCTTGTTTTTCCCTGGCATTGTTTGCGATCCGCCGTTCCTGAAAATGTTGGTGAGGTCTCAGAAATGAGCACACAGGAAGTTCGCAGTCGGTACTGGGCGTTCTTGCCCAGCCGGCATGGCCCAGGGGTTGGGCTGGTCCTGGGGAGATCCCGGTTTGAGCCCCACTCGGCCACGAAGCTCAGCAGGCGACTTTGGGGCAGGCACGCCCTCGCAGCCCAGCCTCCTGCCCACGCTCCGCAGCAGAGAACCTGAGGCCGACCTAACCCCAAGGAGCCAAGTGACCCAGGCAGGGGGCTTTGATGGGGCCAAAGACGGGCTGCGGTGGGTGTTCCTGCTGCAGGGCCTTGGCAGAGGAGCGGGCGTGGCCTTGGCCCAGCTCCCCTCCTGGCCCGCCCTCCAGGAGCCATGGCGGTGGAGGGCAGGCCAGGGGTTCACTGTGGCCCAGCATGCTCAAGCCCTCAGGGGCCGGCGGCTGCGAAGCAGTGCCCAGGCCAGTGCTTTGCCTGTGTCTCCAGGACACGCTTCGGCCCCCGGCCCCACCCAGCACGCCGTGTGCAGCGCGACTCGCCTCTGCGCTCCGTGTTAGAAACCCCGACAGGCTACCCAGTCAGCGCACTAGTGAGCTGCCTGCGCCTGGCCACGGTGCCCCTCAAGTGGATTCTTTCCTTGCACAAGAAAAAGTCAATCCAGATTACATATTCTAAATGCAAGAAGCATGTGGCTGGAATAATCCATCCTCTGCTAAATAATCCATCTTGTAAACTCCGTGGAAAGGATTTCTGTGGAGGACGGGCACCCACAAGGAGTGCGCTGCCCCTGTGAACAAAATGCACCCGCACCTCCACCTTCTCTGTGGGGGGAGCGGCGGCCCCTGGGGAGGGCCCTTGCCGGAACCTTCTGCCGCCATAAGAGGGTTTCCCCGCTCCTCCAGCTGAGCCACCCGGAGGCTCAGTGGACCAGGCTGCTCCTGCTAGGAGTGCGGGTACAGCAGCCCCGCTGGGGCGTGGGCTGAGCCGGGGGGGGGGGGGGGGGGGCAGCAGGGGAGGGTTCTGGCCTCTTTGTCCCTGCTCGGAGGATCAACTCCCTCTGGAAACTCAGTCAGCCTCCTAGGAAGGACTAAGCGATTTGGTAAGATGCTCTCTCTCTATTGAGTGCTAGGCAGGGAAGTTGAATTAGAAATTTGGCTTCCTCGTATTATAGATGTGTGCACATTTTATGGTTTGTTTGCTGCTGGAGCAAACAAAGTGTTAAATTTCCATACGGAATGAATTGTTCCTTTGTTGTGCTTTTGATGTACATTGAAGACAACATCGCTGTGCTTGTAACAGTTTTCCGTGCTGTTCTCCTATTTTACTGTGATGAATGTTCTGGCTGGTGCTTTTATTTTATGGCAATGTGTCATTGTATTCTGATCATATTGCTGTTTTTATCTGAATTTTGTGCATGGCCTGGAGCATCCAGTGTGATTTATACATGTGTCAAAAAAATAAATACGGGGGCCAATGCGGGGGTGGAGAGAGGACAGAGAAGCCCATTAATAGGATGCACGCATGTGCGTGTGCGCGCACCCCCGTCAGGCACCGGCCTCTCGCTGAGATAATATCTGAGAGAGGGAAACAGTTCGTACCAGAAAGTCAGGCGAATGTCTGATACCGTGACCTGCAATTACGCACGACTCCATGGCAGGAGGGGCAAAATGGGTGGCTCAGAGACCATGTCCCAGACCTGATCCCCATAATTAAAGCAGGCAAACAGAGCCAGTTCTCAGAACGAGTAATTTTCCCAGGTTGGGCTTTTCAAAGGACCTTTTTCATAAAGGATTTAGGTGAGGCTGGCCTGCCAGTTTGACCCCTGACCGGCTTCGGGGTTGGTGTGCAATAGCTCAGTGCGGCAGGTGTCTGGGCCTCCTCACGCTGGCGCAGAACGACCAAGCTGCCTTGCCTGACGAGGGTTTTGAGGCTGGAGGCAGCTCCGTGCTCCCAGGTGGCAGAGACTCCACAGACCAGGTGGGAAACTTCCACAGATTGGGGCATATGCCCCTGGGTGCCAGCATGCACCAACCATGCCATTCTGCCACCCAAATTCAGTGATGTGCTGGTGGCAGAGGGAAAAAACTTCCCTTTAAAAGTGAAAAAACACAATTTGTCACCACATGTTGGTGGTCTGCTGCCTGGAAAGGGGGCTTCAGCTGTAAATTTTGGCTCAAAGCAGGTCTTGTTGCTTCTTAAAGAGGCTTTCCCCCCCTGAAGTCACCACTGCCACACATTGGTGGCGGAGCTGCAGTGGGGTGCAGGGGATACTGCCCGTCCTGCACTGGGGTGGCCAAAACGGGTTTTCCCCTATAACCTTGGAACCCAGGCAGGGGCCGAGCCAGTTGCTCAGCGTCCGGTCCAGGTGCTCGGAGCTGAGAGACGGCTGCTCACGGCAACCGCTCGCCCCCGAGCAGTACGGGGGTGCACAGGGTCCAGATAAGGGGGATCCAACTCCACTTTCTTTAGACGAGGCTGAACAACCTTGTCTGCTTAGGAGGTGTGGGCTGCCTCTTCCTTAAAGAGGCATTTGTGTGTTTACACCAACATACCAGCCGAGGCTGATTTTGATGCATCCCGAGAACAAAAGAACTGGAGCTGATAATGCGTAAGTACTGCGTCCAAGATCATTCACGCTATTGTATTCCCAATTATGTACGGATGTGAAAACTGGGCAGTGAAGGAAGCTGACAGGAAGAAATTGGATGCCTTTGAAACCTGGTTGGAGAAAAAGGAAACAAATGGATCCTAGAGCAATTTGATCCAGAGCTTTCTCTAGAAGCCAAAGCTGAGGCTTCAGGCATATCATGAAAAGGCAGGACTCCCTGGAGAAGAGCACCATGCCAGGGAAAGTCAAAGGCAGAAGAAGGAAGACCAGATATGAGATGCACTGACTCCACTAGCAAAACCCCGGCCTTGAAATTAAGGGAGCTGAGCAGGGCATTCTGAAAGGCACGATTCAGAGGGCCACCAAAAGTTGGAGATGATGGCCCCGAACCGCAGGCGAACCAACCGTGGGCCTCACTCCACCATGCCATGTCATGTCCTCTGTCTGAATAAGCCGAAAGGACCCACCGCAACCTGGGTAGGCAGTTTATAAGAGAAGGGATGACTCAGTTCAATCTCCCCACTGGCCTACCCTCTTTGGGGGGGGGGCAGGGCCCCTCATTACAAGAGGGATACAGCAAGGTTGGGATCAGTGCAGCGGAGGGCCACTAGGAGGGTGGCTGGTTTGCAGGGAAGCCATATGACGAGAGACGGAGGGAGCTGGGTCTCTTCAGCCTGGAGAGGAGACTCAGAGGGGACCTGTTAGCGACACACAGGTACGTGAGGGGGTGCCACGCAGAGGTGGGTCATGACCTTTTTCCCCCTGCAGTAGAGGGCAGGATGCATTCCAATGCAGCAAAGCTCAGAGCACCAAGGTTCAACTTAGATGCCAGGAAGCATTTCCTGACAGTTAGGACCCCGAGGGGGTGGAATGGGCTTCCACAGGAGGTGGCTGAGGCCCCATCGGTGAGGGTGTTCAAAGATGGGCTGGACATGCACATGGTGGGCATGTCGTGAGTGGAGATGGCTGGAGATGGGGGGGTCAGACTAGATGGCCCAGGAGACCCCTACCAACTCACTCTGTTTCTAGGCTTCTCTATTCCACATGCAAATAGTTTCCATGACCTGCCCGCTTTCTCTTGCAGCCCCTCTGACCTGGCTCCAGCGCCAGTTCAGCTGGGGAGGCCGGATTAGGATGGGAGCTTTCGGAGGACAAGGCTCTTTCGTGGACCCTCCTGGAGCATGCAGCACGTGAAGCAGCAGGGCACAGAGTGGAAGGGGACGTGCCTCCAGGGGGCTGCTTGTCCAGGTAGCTTCAGGGGACAGCACACCTGAGAAGGGCGTGCTCACCTGCAGATCGCTCAAGAGGGTTAGGATGGGTTTAAGGTGCCCCGGCAGAGAGCATCCCCTAGGCTGGCCTGCCTGCCCGCCGACCGACTGCTCGGGAAGCAAGGGGAGGCCTGTTCCGAAGGAAACGGGGGGCGGGCGCATGCCCTTGCTCTGGGGGAGTCTAGGCACCCAACGTTCCACTTGCACCCCAGTCCTGCTCCGTATTCCCAAGGGAGGCAGGAGCCTTCTGCCTGGCAGCCTTATGGGCGGGAGGCGCCAGCAGGGAAGGAGGGCATGCTCCTCGCCTGACGCCCCGCGCAGCAGCGCCCCGACCCCGGGGAGCGACACGCGCGGCTCCCCTGCCCCTTCGGCCCCGCGCG